TAAGGGACAGCACATGCACATCACGTAGGTGCAAGGCTATCAAAAAACAGCCTACATGAACATAAAAATGACGCCTGCACACCCAGTCTATGTGTGAGTGTGCGGGCGTTATTTTTCCTCTTCATGATGAAAAATTATAAAATTATTTCACTTGATTGGATTTTCAGGCCGCTTTGATGCTCATTGCTTATGACATATAACCTAGGTCAGCTTCACATTTGACAACTCCACGGAATCCATGATTCACCTAACGAGTGAAATTACCCCTTTCAGACCCATAGGAATATGTGAGTCTCTCTGACAGCCAATAAAAATAGACACCTCCCACATTCCCTCTGTTTCTCTCCTGTCTCCTCTCGCACTGATTTCAAAGCACATGACTCTCCGGGTCAAAAACAAACGCAACTCCCTGCTTACAACACTCAATCAATCAATCAATCAATTTTATTTATAAAGCCCAATATCACAAATCATAATTTGCCTCACAGGGCTTTACAGCATATGACATCCCTCTGTCCTTATGACCCTCGCAGCGGATAAGGAAAAAATCCCCCCAAAAAAACCCTTTAACGCTTGCACATGGGCTCGAATATGACTCATCTGGAGACTTTCAAAACATGAAAAAGGCTGAGAGGTAGCGGTGTAAGAAAATATCGATGCACTTGAGTATCACGATATCATGTTTTGTGATACTGTGTCAACTGACTCTTCGCGAAGTCCCGCCCCCCAATGCAGACTGGCCAATCCTAACGTAGCAGAGATTCATTTTGTGCTGTGTTTAAACCCTCGACCACCAGATCCTTCAGTGCTGCAATCTATCTTCAGTCATTTGACTCTATGAAATAGGAAGAACCCTACATTTTTGAGTATCGCAGTATATCGCAATATATTCACTCGTAACCCCTGTATCCCGATACGTATCGTAACACCAGATTCTCGTGAGCCCTACTGAGAGGTGCTGTGCTTCTGTTACCTTTAACCCTCACTCCAAATACACACTCTCCTCACCTCCACCTCTTTCTCCCTGCCTCCTCCTGTTTCCTCTCACAGTGATTTGGTAGCAGATTAATTTTCTATTAAAACACAAAATCAGCAGAAATAACCGAAGCGCTCGCTCCTTCCCTGAGCCCACAGCGAGTGTGTGTGTGTATGTGTGCGTGAGATCACAGACGGAGATAAGGAGCTGTGTCAACTTCGTGGTATTCATTAAAAAATGGATGGAACAAAAGGTTGAGCAGCACAGAAATAACAAATTGAGGAGAAAAGAGAGGGATGGAAAGCTTATGTAATGTGGTGTTAAGAAGGGGCGAGCTTGGGTGGTAAAATGACTGCGTTTCAGCCACCCTTTCCTCCTGTGTCTCTTTCTTTTGCTTTGCCGGAGAGAAAGGAAATCAAGCGACTGACAAGCCATCACAAAAAAACATAGAGTCGGATTGGTATGCAACCTTTGACTCCACTGCAGGTGAGACGCACACATTTACAGTACCGCAGAGATCGTGGGTGTGTGTGTTCGTACAGTAAAACACTTCCAGCGCCTCATTAATCAACTGCTCACCTGACAGCTTGACTGACACCTCCTCCTCTCCCTCTCACACACACACACACACACACACACACACACACACACACTTGACATTGAGAGGCAGAGAGACTCTTTGATCCCGTCTGCACTTCCTGAAACTGACAACTGCTGGATGCCTGGCTCACACACATACATAGTATTTACAAACCCACACACACACACACACACACACACACACACACACACACTCTCTTTGCCTGTCTCGTCCTATTTAAGTCCCGAAATCGTGTGTGATAATGAACGTGAATATGTTAACAAAACAATAAGTGGCTGACGCTTCTCTTCATCTATGTCAAAAAATTACATTTAACAACAAAGAGAAGCGGATGATGGCGGATCAGAAGAATTAATTCTATGCACTCACGGTAATTTCCTTCATGACTAACATATAATGACAGGTAAAAACACGAGCAGGGGGGACGGAGCGGAGAAGAAGAAAGAGAGGTATTTTTAGTTTTTCCAAAGAGAGGAAGAAATTATGAAATAATGCGCGCAGATTAGATAAAGGAGGAGTCAGCAGTGTCTCCGTCTCCCTCTCAGACACTGGACTGTATTCTATTTGAAGACAGCAGAGGTCATCATTTATTGAACAGGAGGAACTCATTAGTATGCATCTGATTTCAAACACACTCTGTCTCTCTCCTCCCCCTCCCTGTCCTGCTTTATGTCTGTCTGCTTGATTGTCTCTATCAATTATCTGCTCACACTCTCCATTTTTTCTGTAAGGGACAACTGGAGGGACGCGGGGGAAAGAGGGAAAAGGTCGGATTTTTTACAGCTAAAGACCAAAAGGCTTTAAACGGGAGATCTCGGCTGTGCACTGGATTCTTTTGGGTCATTTTTACACTTAATTTGTTAGATGTTAATGTCTAGATTCCCTAAACCCTTTGTTACCCTTCATTGTGTGTGTGTGTGTGTGTGTGTGTGTGTGTGTGTGTATGCCAGAGACAGAGGGTCACTCCTGCCTATCCATCCAGCTGACAGCTTCACCACAAAGATGCACACACACACACACACACACACACACACACACACACTGAAAATTGGCCAAAATATGCAGAGAGCACCTGTAACTCTGTCTGCCTGTATACCTGCCTGTCTGCATGCCCTTCTGTCTGCCTGCTCAGCTGTCTGTCTGCATCGGCTCCCACGCCACACGCTGTCTTACAGCCCCATCTAGTGGTGGTAGTATCACATGACAACATGCAGATTTCAATGGGAGAGTGTCTCCATGTCTATTGTCCATTATTTTTCCATTTCATTCAATTAGGGCAATAACTTCACAGACTTTGTGGTGGCTTTGCATGTTTTGTTCTGCTTTGTGTTCTGTTTTTTACCATTTTCTGTCTCTTTATTACCCCTTAGTCCACCTTAAATCGATTCATATACCATGACACATTTTAATAGGACAATACAAAGTCAGCCTATCACCTTATTAAAATATGATGGATAAAAGGCCTTCTGTCCCAGCAGGATTTGGAAAAATTTTCCAGTAGACTTCACAACTGTAACAGTGTCTTTACAGATCTCCCTAAAAATTGATCAGACAGCTGATTGAGAACGCAACTGCTCTAGTTGTTAGGGTTTGCCTCCCCCTTGTGCTTCCTTTTTCCCCTTCTTAGTGTCTCATGTTCATTTTCAGTCCGTCTCTGTGTGTGTGCTGGGCGTGGCCTTCTGGTTCCCTCCTCCTGCCAATTCTCCTGAGTGCCAGCAGCTGCTGAGTCTATACACCTGAACCACATCTACAATCAAGCCACTGCAGTCTGCCAGGTCGCTCAGTCTCCTCTGTGGTACAGACGTCAAGGCCAAATTATACGTCTTGACACATGCTCATGGACCTCAGTTCACACTTTGTTCTGTCTCTCAGGTTCACCACACTAGCTTCAACAACACCAGCCACGTCCAGTCTCGTCTTCTGCCTCTGGATTTGGATTGCTCTGCTTCCCCATTCCAAGCCAACCTCAGCCATCGTTTCACTCAAGCCTTCAGTCCCCATCCCCATTCCTGGTAGTGTTTGCATTTGGGTCCTAAGTTGAACTGCCACAACACAAGTCCTCACTGAGACCAAGGAAGTAGATCACATCACTCAGCTCTGAGGTCTTCAAACAGGCTTCCTGTCTCTCAGATTCAAATTCAGCATACTACTGTTGATTTATAAAGCTCTGAATGGTTTATGAACCACCCAGACCTCTCAGGTCGCCTGGGACAGGTCTGCTTTGTGTCCCAAGAGTCAACACTAAACATGGTGTTTAGTTTTTATGCAACACATATTTAGAACAAACTCCCATAAAACTGCAGGTCTGCACCAACTCTCACTTCTTTTAAATTAAGACTGAGGACTTTTGTTTTTGCCGCTGCCTTTTATTAAATAAAACATTTATTCATTTCTTTCATTGCACTGTAACTTCTATTCTTGTTTTTTATACCTGTGTTAGTATATTTTTGCTTGTTTTTGTTTTCTAATCTCTGGCTCTTTCATGGCATTTTTAATTGTATTTAAATGTCCTTTTATAATGTACACTTTGTCTCAATGCTTTTAATGTTTCATGTAAAGCACTTTGAAATGCCTTTTGGCCAAAATGTGCTACATTAATAAACTTGCCTTGCCTTTGTGGGTGTTTTGTTTTTTTTAGTTATTTTGTTTCTCTGCAGTTGCTTTGCATCTCTTGTGGTCATTTTGAGTCTTTTCCTGGTCAGTACGTGTTGATTTGAGTGACATTTTGCACATGAAGGCCAGAATGTCCTCAAACACTTTGTACCTCTATGCCCTCATACTACATCTATTGTAATAAGTGATTAATTTTTATGATTTCGGTGGCAGTGACATTTGCTTTCAGTATGTGCAACTGCAAAAATACTGCCCCCTATTGGAGCTAAAATGTTGCAAACAATGAATCCAATTAAGATAACATCACAGTGGTGCTCACACTGTTTAATCTGTACACAACAATGGCTTTATACTTGTGTTTTCTTACCTTCTTCTGCAGCACATTCACTTTGCGCTCCTTGACGTCCAGCATGTCTTTGAGGTCGCTGATCTCTCCATTCTGAGTACTCTTCTCCTCCGTCAGCTCTGAGATCTGCTGACTCTTTTTAGCCAGGAGGGATTCCTTTTCCTCTAAACGGAGACGCAGCGCATCCACCTGCACACACACACAATAAAAAGTCAGTTGAAACAAATACATACAACCTATGATCAATTTCCATGTGATAAGTAATAGTACCATTACATACAGAAGCAACTTACACTGGCTCCAAATTCATGTTAGGATACACTTTAAAATCTCTCCATGGTCTTGCACCTACACATATCTCAGAACTTCTCACCCCTTTGCAGCACCACCAGACCCCTAACATCCACCCACCGTGGCATATTTGCTGTGCCCTGTTCCTGGAGAAGAAAGCCCAGGGACAGGGCTTTTTCTGGAACAGCTCCTCAGCTTTGAAACAGCTTGCCAGAGGCCATTACACACACTGAGTCTGTTGAAGCTTTGAAGACGCACCTTAAGACCCACTTTTATTCTCCGGCTTTTAATTGCGTTTAACCTCTCTTTCTATTTTTATCTGATTCCCTGAGTTTAATCTGTGTTTAAACTTGTTTTATGTTAATCTTGTTTCACACATCTCTGCAATTTTATGTCTCTATATATAGCTCTGAATAGTGCTACATAAATGAAATAAGTCTGAACCTAGTGGAAGAGTAACTGTACCTCAGTCTGCAGTATAGCGGCTCTCTGTTCCTTGGCAGTGAGTGACTCTTTCAGGACGTCCACATGTTGTTTACTGTCAGAAAACTGATTGTTCAGAGTCTCCAGTTTGGTCCTGAACGCCAGCAGCTCGCTGTCCTTACGACTCAGATCCTGCTTTACCTGCTCCATCTGAGTGACACACACACACGACATACAGACCCAGTTAGAGTGGGTACTAGAGAAGATGACATGTTGTTAAAATCTACTGAATTCCACAATGAGCTTTACTAAGTGAGCACTCGTTCTAAGGTGTTTGTTAAGGTTTTAGCCATAACTTTATTGTGGAACGCTATATGTAAAGGTCAAAATGTTTAGAAAAAGTCCCAGCCCTCCGGTTTCTAGACCTACGTACTTACCCTACCTACTTGTTTTTACTAAAATATTAGGAAAACCTATTGAATCCAACCCCCTCACAGTTCTTCTAGGTATTCAACCTAAATACTTTGAGGTTCTTGACGTTGGAGATGTGATTTGCTATCTATGGTTCTAATGACAGTTACAGAGTTCAATTAATAGACAAGCAGTAATAGAGTGCCCAGGAATGTTCCTTTGTCTCAAAGTCAACAGGTTTTTTCAATGGGTTTTTGGTTAGATGCCTGAACTAAGGTCTGTGGTTAACAAGAGTTTGAGAGACTTACATGTTTTCTTCTGCAACATAAAATACATCAATAAATATCTCACTTCTGAACTTTGAAGCGTTTATGTGTCTTAAAAAGGGTGGCTGCTAACAAGTGGCTAAATGAGACTACAGAACGTCATCACACCGAACACGGCTTTACAGCATTATTGGGGTGGCAAAGTTAAATCATGCAACCGTTTATAGCCTAATGTTAGCTTTTTACTTCTGCCAATTGCATTTAGGCTTCAAAAATCATAAAGAAGATTAGATTATCTTAATGAACAAAACATATAATAAACGTTTGTTTGGCACAGAGCTTATTTTCTGCAATAATCCAAAATCCAATGGAAAAAAATCCATTGGCATTTTGAAGAGGGAACCAGGGTGACTCTAACTTCCGTGTCACTCTACAGAAAAACGTCATCCCTGGACCATTCTATAGTATTTATCAATTTATATAATAAAAAAATGCCCGTATTTAACCATTCACTGTGCTGTTCTCACTAATCTTTATCAGAAGGCAAAGCCAGTTTTAGCAGCCTCACACAAGTCAGGTGTACACAGAGGTGTTTCTGAAATTTGAAGCCACTTGGGGCTCAGCCCAGAGCTCTTTTTGATGCTTTTCTATGCACTCTGGCACCTTATTTACATTCAAAGTACAGAAAAGGCCAGATGAGATGTGTAATCCCTCCAGCGTGTTCTGGGTCTGCCCTGGAGCCTCCTACCAGTGGGACAGGGTGTGCCCCAGGAGGCATCCTGATCAGATGCCCGAACCACCTCAACTGACCCCTTTCGACAGGAAGGAGCAGCGTCTCTACTCTGAGCTCCCTCCAGACGTCAGAGCTCCTCACCCTATGTTTAAGGCTCAGCCCAACCACTCCACTGAGGAAACTCATTTCGGCTGCTTGTATCTGCAATCTCATTCTTTCGGTCTCTATCCAGAGCTCATGACCATAGGTGAGGGTTGGGACGTGGATGGACCAGTAAATCGAAAACTTTGCCTTCTGGCTCAGCTCCCTCTTCACCGATCAAATAAAGAATTTGATTATATTTCCCGATCTTTGCTCAGCAACAGTTTTGTGTGAAAGAAATTAAAGGCCTGCCTCAAATATACAGTAGACGCCTGTCCCTAATATAGACCCATTGATTTCAGTAATTTAAGCAAATAATAGCCTGGGCTACTAATTGAAGTTTTACGGTAAGCTCTCCTTATCTATATTAATTGAATGAAATGTACAATGAATCGTGAGTGGCCTTCTATAAGGGCCACTGTGTCAGTTTTAGGACATTTTGTGTAAAAGGAAAAACAAGCCATTTTTCTAATCTATCACCTGGAAGGCAAACAAAAATTAGACACACATCAAAGTCAGTGCAGCATTACACACCCATTTATACATATGGTGTACTCCCCAGCTACTGTGTTGTACTGTACAAGAGGGTCAGGGTCGATTCTTTCAGTTATCCCAAAATAATTAAAAGGAAAAACAGTTTAATGTCTACAAGTGACCTTTAGCATCTCAGTGAGCTGACTGGGAGTGAATTTAACATGACAGCTAAAAAGAATGGACCCAAACCACACAGGAGAATTAGTCAAATAAAAAACTCCGCAAACTAATCCAAGCCACTAGTTGAGAGAAACCTCATGCAAGAAGAAAGAGAAGAAGGTTAGAGATATGCAGGCTGTAGCACAGCTGGGCTCTCAGCTTGAAGTCTGTAACTGTAGTTCAGACGGCTTGAAACAAACATTACATTATTGGTCATAGACAGAATGGGAAGCAAAGACCTCCTCATCTGTTTATATGAACAAATAGCACACACAGCGTTGTAAGAGTTAAAGTTGTTTCATGCTGCCTGAACACACTACTGGGATTCTACTGGGATCTACTCAAGCAGCAGCCATTCACCAGTCAACCTGGGAGACGAAAGAGCAAGAGATCAAGAAGCAATGAAACTAAAAGTGACAGCGCAAACAGACAGAGGTGCGTCTCTTACTGCGGACACCTCCAGCTGAAGCTCATTGGCTCGCTGCCTTAGCTCCTCCTTCTCTGACTGGCTGTGAGTGAGCTCTTCCTTCAGCTGCTCAACCTGGCAGGAGAGGAGGGCGTCACCATGACCGCAACACAATCAGCCGCCACATTCGCTGACCACATACGGCATACACAAACACCTCGCATGCTGAAACAGTGCATGAAAACCACCTACTGTACATCCTGTGAGTCAGTCAGTGGTGCAGTTTTAATGGCTATGTCAAACTTTAGCACCATGAATCAGGTGAAATATGAAAACCTAACAGGCTTAAGGTTTTCATACAAGCTGCTAAATGATACAAGCCTGTTAAAGAAATGGGTCTTTAGGAATGAATAATGCTGTGAGAATTATGTTTTTCATGGATAGTCCTGAATTTCTTAACTGTGTGAGGTTTCCAGGGATCTTTACCTCCCCAAAAATCATTTGTATATCAATTACTCATCCTGTATTAGGTTGAATTTAAGAAGAAAACTATTTCTCACATGCCAGCACGGTGAACGAAGAGTCCAAAAACAGAAAAATTTCGTGTGCTCAGTACTTCCCAAACAGACAGCCATTTCCAACAGGGAACTGAACTTGAAGTAATTCTTCTCTATGCTCTCTTCAAAGCCAGACTCCAATGACAAAAACAGTAATTTTACCTCACTGAACACAGGAGCTGCTGGTCTACCACTGCCTCCAACATTTAATGTGTTTGTGTTACTGTGTGACTTTGCTGTTTTGAAGGGTTAGGGTGCTTTCACACCTGCCCTGTTTGGTTCGGTTCAGTCGAACTCAAGTTATTTTGCCCCCTAAGTGTGGTTCATTTGGTCAGGTGTGAGCACAGCAATCACACTCAGGCGCACACCAAAACAACTGGACCGAGACCTTCTTGAAGAGGTGGTCTTGGTCTGGTTCATTTGTGGTGAGAACGTGTTCCGACCTGGATCTGAACCAGCTGCAGTCACATGACACATTGTTTGGGTTAAACATGAGCATGTTACAGTCCTGGAGGATTATTAATGTGCGCCTCCTCCTGTACTGCCTTAATATGCACATTCAGCACATCCAATGCATCAAAACATTGTTTTCTAGTTGGAGCCGCACCTCGTTTTCAAACTGTATGGTTTGACTAAAATGAACAATGACAGCAATATAGTCCTCGATGAGCAGCGCTAAAATCAACCTGCGTAGTTGTCCCTCCATTGTGACGTTAGAAAGTGTCACATTTATCTTGCAAGTGTACCCTTCTTCAACGTCTTGTTTACTTCCTGGATTTTTCCGGCATGGAAATTCTGACCAATCAAGAGCAGCTTTCTCACACAAGGCATTTTATCTAGTCCACTTGTAAATGCTGCCGTGAGAACACGAACCAACTCTAGGCAATTATACAACCAAAGCAAGACAACTCTAGGTCTGAAAGCACCCTTAGATTGGTTTCACCAAAGTCACACAGGAACACATACAAAGTAAATGATCAAGGCAGTGGTAGACCAGCAGCTCCTGTGTTCAGTGAGGTAAAATTACAGTTTTTAACGATGGAGTCTGGCTTTAAAGAGAGCCTAGATAAGTCTCACTTTCCATTCAGTTCCTCCTCATTAAGAGATGTCTGTTTGGGAAGTGCTGAGCATGCGACTGGATAACCGAGATTTTATACTGCACGAGTTGTGTGAAAGTTTGTAAACAGAGTCAAAGGCATGTGAGAAACAAAAGCTTTCTCCAGAAATTCAACGTAACCAAAGTTATGTAATTGATGTATATACGATCAATTGGGAGATCATGTTTTTGGTATCTAACTTAATTGACAAAGACATGAAATATTATAATCCTTATCTAAACTAAAAGTTAAGGATACTTATCAGAACACACTTCTCTCAATCGCTGCTGTTGCTTCCTCGTGCACTCACAAACAGGCCAAATATTGTTTCACAGTCACATGTCCATTGATGGAAACTTACGTGAGCCATTCTACTGTACATGTGAACCAGTGAGTAGTTATCTTAGTTCACGGTTTCTCTTCACTAACAAATTACATGGAGGTTTTTGGTTTTAGTCCCCTGGTGTTAAATTCATTTCAGGCGACAAAAGCTGAGGATGTTGGATGTGGGAAATTTAGTGTTCTACTATAAATGTCTAAGAATGCTAACAATGCTTAAATCAAAGAAAGAAAAGGTAATGTAAAAAAGGAGGTGTAAATTACCTCCTCACACAGAAACCCAGCGCAGACAAAAACAAACACATTTCAACTCAAACAAGCACAAGAAGCAAACAGAGAGAAAACATCGACTGAATTCCTGAACTGTCTCGTCTCCCCACATGACAGAAGTGCTGGTTTGTTTTAATGAGCGTGGCTCCGGCAGGAAACCTTTTTGTTCCTGACACTAAAGTTGTATCCGTCAAGTGTAAAGAAGTCGAGTTATTTTCCAGTGAGCCAAATCCTGAAATCTTTCGAAACATGAAAAGAAAAGCAGAAAATGTGTGTGTGACTGTGTCACCTTGTTCTTCATGAACTTGGAGTGGGATCTGTAGACCTCCATCTGTTTGATCTCCTCCTCCCTCTCCTCGCTGCTCAGAGCTCCGTTGGACTTGAGCATGTTCACCTCCTCCTCCAGCTCTCTTATGCCGCGCTCCATCGAGCTGATCTTTGCATCCTAGCAGGACATCAACATGCACATGTTGAAGGGAGAGGACCAGGTGTGATTCACTGTACCTGCACCATTAATATTACTAAATAATAAAATATATTCCTTTGGTTTTTCTGACGATAAGTGGAGCTGGAAAGTCGATCATAGAAAGTCCATATTAAAGACAACATCAGCTAGATTGAGGGATTGAAGGAACAGAGGTGCCTCCACCAGAGGGAGCAATTAGAGTTATAGTGGGAGCTTTGATAACTGTTTTGGCAGAGTTAGGAAACTCCTCTTCTCTTTTTGTGGCTCTTGCATGTCAGTATATACAGGATATTGAAAATACTGTTTAATAAAATCACACTAAAAAAACATAGCTGTAGGATGTGTTTAAATTTCCAAAAAGCATGTTTGCAACAGATTGTTCATGATCTTTTGACACTACATCTACACAAATACCTCATATTGACATATTTATGCAGGGTCAATTAAAGACTTAAGACTTTTAAGAATTGTTCACTGACAAGCTTTGCACTGTAAATATGCTCGGCTATTAAAGCTGGGATATTTTTTCTAATTGAAGAGTACATATCTTATCTTTGTGACTTTAAAATAACTAAAAATATGAACTATTTATGGTTGCTTATTGAATTTTGATATTCTGAAATGGTTTGCCCGCAGTGTATTCATGTGATTTCTTTCTGTTCGGCCAAAATGTTTCCACAGGACACACGCGACATTTCTCTTTCGTACAAGCTCCTAAGTTGCTCAGTTGGCTCAGTGTTGGAGTTCTACACTATGTTAACTCCAGGTCACAGACCGGACAGGGTGTCATGTGACTACACACGCAGTAATACGTTTTAAAGGGGACAGTACAGAAACACACAGTGTGGAAAGTCAAAAAATAACAACAAAATTCCGGACATGGGCAAGATTAGTTGGGTTACAGGTTCTCAATGTCTGTTTCGATTAATTTTTGATTAATTACCCAGCACTCGCAGAATTTTAAGAGAAAAAACTTGCCTTATTATGGGAATAAAGTCTGAATTTTCTGAGAAATAGGTTGTAATGCTACGTGATTAAACTTTATTTTAATACTATACTATAATTATGAGAAAAAAGACGCAGATTAACACCAGAAAGTCTGGTGACATCGTATAAATAGCAACAAAATTAAATCACAACTTTAATCTTGTAATATTATGACTTATTCTTGAAATCCAAGATTTTTTTCTTCAATCTGCAGTCCCTCCAGGACCTCATGGCAAAAAAACATGAATTTGCAGCCCCAAACCCTTGAATTTGCAATTTCCAATTTTGTCAGAAATTGAGCTAAAAATTGCGGCATTTTTATATGTTTTTTTGCGGGAAATTGCATGCGCGACGACTTCCGATCGGCGCAAATATTGCAGACGCTTGAATCTGCGTCAATTATTGCAATCGCAAGATCACAATTTTCTGGAGAGACTGAATTTGGCACTAATACGCCATCGTAATCTTAAACAAATTCCTTGAATTTGATCTGTTTTATTTATTTCTTATTTCCCAAATTGTGATGGATACATTTTGGGACATTTAACAGTTGAGAAATCAACTTGTCTGTGCTCTACAGTAGACAAACTTTGAACTTAGTACATGCAATATGTTCAGTATGTACTGCATGCACAGTGTAGTACAGCGTTGGTGAGGATATTTAGACACAACAGGAAGCTTTGTGCGTAGTCTTCTGCATCGAGTTTTGTATTTCTGAGACAAGCTTCCATGTATTCATCATACTATGATGATTCTGATACAAAGCACAGACACACATTTACATGAACTAATCACCAACGAATGTTTACCTTCATTTCGATGACTGTCTGCAAGGCCTTGGTCTTCGTTGATTCTGGAGCTGCTTCGTATCTCCTGTGCAGCTCCTGAGAGACACAGACACCACGGTGGTCAGCGGAGGACAGAGAGGGAGACACAGAGGGGTACAGTGAGGGAGGAGAAGGTCGCGGGCCGGGACAGAAGGCGACAGCGGCTGGCGGAGAGGGATGGAGGGAAGGCTGAATGGCTGGTGTAGGCTGTGGAGCGGGAGCAGGGAAGGACGGCGAGTGCTGGAGGGAAGGATGGACAGAGGAGGCGACGACAAAAGAGGGATAGTGGGGAGGACAGGAGGAGGGGAGGACGACGGGGTGGACAGGGTGGCGATGGGAACGAGGGGAAGGTGCAGGGAAGGAGGGAGAGGAGCACAGTTGGTGATGGCGTGAGGGGGAGAAAGGAGGTGAGGGTTGAAAGGAGGGAGACACATGGAAAGGAGGTGGGATAGGGATGGAGGGGGAAACTGGGAATGAGGGGGAGATGGGGATGGAGGGGGAGGCGGGAATAACACGTCTCCCTCTCGTAGAGGCGCTGGCTTTTAGCCTCCTTGGGTCGATCCGTCCATCCCACATCCTTCCAACTGTGAGGAACGCTGCTAACTAAGCTTACAGTGTTTCAGCCTCAGATGCGAATGAATGATCGAATCTGACAGCCTGAAATGATGCTAATTAAATTAATGAAGCCTTTAGGTTCAAATGAAATCTAAAATGGTCTCCAATCTAAAAAAGAGTCCTAATTAAACAAAACAATTCCATTCAAATGAATAAATCCAGTCTTCCAATGCTACAGAGTGCCAGTTTTAATCTGCAGCTGCATACAGTCATATCATCCCTAACAAAAAACCCTGCACGAATTTGGTCAGTCTACACTATATTTCTACTCCTAAAATTCTCCAGATTCTCGAAAAATTCTCCAAAGTTCAACTACCCTTATTTACTAAGCTACATGCAACAAAATGTTATCTGTCTGACTGTGGTTACCACATCACAACTCACTGGTCAAATGAAGTGAGAGCACGGGAGGGTAGAAAGAAGGGGGAGTGTGCTGGTGGATATAAAAGGCACAAAAAGAGAGTGAAAGGACCGGGAGGAAGAGTACGAGAAAGGGAGGGAATAAAAAGCAGAGGGGAGGACGTAGCAGCGTATGCATCACTGCTTTTCTTTGGAGGAAACACACTTAGAGGCCAACAAAGGCAGCTGATGCAAGAGCCGGGAGCCACTAAACACACATATGTGAACAGGACAGTAGGGTGCTGTGGCTCCAGGTGCTAGTCAGGCACTTCTCATTCACTGGTCATACAGTGAGGCTGTGATCATGTTACGTATGCGCTGCAAGCTGTCCTGTGTCATATGACGAGAGTGAAGGAGGAAGTCTGGTCACACAGGAAGAAGAAGGTAGATGCTAGAATATTCCCAACGAATGACAGTGTTTCGCCTAGTCTTGCCCTACTGTGCTGTGATTGGCTAGTTTTAACCCTAATCTCATTGCCCTGACCCTGACCTTGACACACCAATCACAGCATGTGATCACAGCATATTAGGACCTAACCAGATGAATATCTCTGATTGGTGGGTACGTTCTAGCACAGTGGTTACCCAATCGTCCATGGGGTCCAGATTTGTCCTTTAGTCGTTAGTTCGAGTTCCAACAGTTTAATAAATTCAGTGTCATACTTGTGTTTGGCCATGTTATCAAGCTAGTTTGCTATCTCTGTCAAATAGCTGTCTGTTCGTCACTCACTCTACTGCAGGAAACGGCACTTCAAAGTAAAAACTCGGTGGTGGAAATTTACTGTATTTAAAAATAAAGTGTGTTTTTTACAAATTTGGCACATTCAAGGGTCACTTGCCGTCCATTCAGAGTGGACCCTCGACCCACTGTTGAACTTTGACCCACCAGTTGGTAACTACGGTTCTAGCATTTACCTATAAAGAGCGACTAAGTCTGTGTTGGGCAATCTTGGAGCCTATTGGCTATCAAATTGATGATGACAGAGCCCCTGGGGACAACAGCCATTATTTCAGGAGATCTGGAGCATGTTCAATGTCAAAACAGTCTGCACTGTTTTGCTATACTTTCCAGGTTTAACAACATCTTTCCTTGAAATAGCTTGCAACAGTGTGCAATGGGCTTTGAGGTATGTTTTCTCCCATTTGGTGGGTGTGTCAAAGGTGTACCCAATCAGCAGCAACATCTTTATAAACCAAATTCCTGGTAGAGCTTTACTTATTGTACATACAATTTTTGTTTTAGTTCCACACTTAATTTGGCAATGTCAACGTAAGTTTTCCCATGTCAAAAAAGCCATTTTATTGAAAACCATCTTTCCATTGAACTGAATTAAACCCTGTCATATTAAACGGCAGTGTGCCTGCGACGCACAGGGTGTTCAACACACCACTGTTTCTGTTGTAATTAAGGTTTCGCTATGTTTTGTCAGGGCTGAATGCATCCCCACTGTAGCGAGCAGATATCCAGGCAAAGATTTTGGCTAATAAACAAATATCTTAATATGAATGTGGAAAATATTTTAGAAGAAGACAAGCTCAATCACTGTCAGACCATATCCAATGGGTTCCATGATTGTATTTCAGCCAATGTGTTCAGCCTTTCCACACAGACTGTTTACCTGTCCCACAGACGTGATTGGTCAAATACGGGGACTACATACACAAACTGGAACACTTCTAATACCGAAATGTTGTCCCATTATCTACAGATTCGGCATACAAACACATAACTGTTTATGGAGATTATGCTTAGGGAGGCAGGTCACAGTGATTCTCGTTATGTGCAAGATATTATGGAACCAATTCATAAGATATTATACATTTGTATAAGGATATCTTTTAAAATGCCATGAATACATATGACCATACACATTCTCATACACACACACACACTCAGATGTTCCCTTGTTTGGTAATCATTCCCTAGGGAGTGTTATAGGTGAAATCAAGAACTGATACAGCCATTGCAAATTATGGAGGAAATGAAAGGCTGTAATGATATAGTCTCATCAGCAAAAGAATATGCAATTTTAAATTTAATAACTACTTAATCTTTTAATCTAAATCCCACTGAATCAGCTCCATCCCCACCAGGGACATTTCTGGAGATGTTTTAAAGTGGCTGCAGGGAGTTAACAGGACTGGTTTGTTAATTAGTGAAATGAACAATGTCCAAAAAAAGTGTCAGCCACTCAGCAGGAAGTCTGCACGACAAATACACAAGAGACACCTCTACAGTCATTTACTTCTGTAATTTTCACATTAACCTCCACTGATATCTTCCAGGTATTGCGTTATCTTATTCCGGTTTCTCTGAGGTGTTTTCTGCTTTGCAATTAATGATGTGTGTTTCAAACACTGTCAGAAAACAGAATCTCTGTCCAGCACAATGATGCAATGGAAAGCAACACAGGCCAGAACATGTGCTATGAGAGTAGGAACAATCCTAATTAGGTCTTGAACCCTTTCTGAAAGAAAATCATCTGTCAGCCTATGTCTCTCTCTCTCAGTCATTTGCTGCCTATGATAAATTTAATGATGCATCATTGGCTCTTGTGCGTGAATATTTCTCCCTCACAGCTGTGGCTCATAGTACATTTGAAGCCAGTCATAAAAGGCTGGTCTGAGATCAGTTATTTTGTATATTTTTCAGTGTAAATGAAACAGTTGTCAACCTGGTGGCTCTTAACAAGGCAAGTTAAAAGTTTAAAGGTCCAGTGTGTATGATTTAGGGGGATATACTGGCAGGAATGGTATATAATATAATAAGGATGTTTTCTTCAGTGCATAATCACTTGTAAATAAGAATCATTGTGTTTTCATTACCTTATAATGAACTATTTATATATGCACAGGGAGCTGGTCCTCGTCAACAGAGACCACCATGTTGGACTACAATGGTTCTACAGTAGCCCAGAATGGACAAACCAAGCACAGGCCTAGATAGGGCCATTTGCATCTTCTCATTTTTGCATTAGCCACCTTAGCTAGCAGCCCCTGGGGACAAGTGGCTTGGAAAACACTGTTTTTTTTTTTGTTTGTTTGTTTTTTTTAAATAAAACTGCTTTATTTGGTGTTTTTACAGCTTAAGTTACCTGTCTGTTTGTTTTTGAGAAGAAGAGACCCCTGTGGATGATTTGGCTCACAATTAAGACCTCCTAAATATCTGGATCTAAAGTTATTAAAGAAAAAATGTGAGCATACTGTAGCAGGTGCTGGGCTAGCAGCCTGTCTGCGACGTGCCAAACAGCGTTGAAGAAACACTGATTTGTGATGTGAAACTAATTTAATTTATTTACTGCGTTTTTACTGGTTTTAATTACCCAGTCCGTATGTTTTAGAAATAAAGGGACCTCAGCGAATAGCTCAGCTCCCTGTAAAAACCTTCTTAACAGTGAACACTTAAGGAATTCTAACCAGGCGAAGTTTCAGCTGGTTGCAATGTGCAATCTTCACCACTAGGTGCCACTAAATCCCCCTAAATCTGACACACTGTTCCTTTAAAATAAACACTATTGCTGTGAATTCCTCACATTGCGTCGAAAGCACAGATTATTTTGTATATAGGTATTAGGGGTGGGGGGAAAAATCCATACAGCATAGTATCGCAATATTTTTGTGTGGCAATACTGTATCGTCAGACAGTGCCAAGTATATTTCTTTTGGGTTTTTGGTGTTATTGGTATTAATAATTTGTAAGTATTGAAGTTTTTTGGTCTTTATTGGTGGTTGGGTTTATTTTGGGTTTTTAAACGGTATGGAGTTAAGGTCCCCCCCCCCTTATATTTCTATGTGGGCTAGCCTATGTGTGTGTGTGTATATATACATATATATATATATATATATATATATATATATATACATACACATATATATACCCCTTCTTTTGTGTCATTCGAGAGGTCAGGTTTGTTCAGTTCAGACTTCTGTTGCTGTATTGTTTTGCTGACCTCAATTTAGTTAAAGGGCCCTGAGTAATATTTTTGTTGACACTTTCCCTTTGCTTATGTATTTTAAACATTAAGAGTTTGTTGCTGTATGAATTGATTTGGCTAAATAAAGCCGTAAAATTCTAAAATGAAGCTTGTGTGCCTGTCTTTACTGCTTGGTCCCTAACAGATGAACATTAGATAGCACAAGTTTTCCTTTAAAGACATAGTATACAGTTTAAAAAGGTGATAATTCAAAATATATTGCAATATATTTTATCACATTACTCAGCATATCGCAACACATTTAATATCACAATAATATTGCATCATGATAATATCATATCTTGGAGCCTTTGGTGATTCCCACTCTGAATAGGTACGGGCTATGCCAGATACTTACACCAATTACATAATTATTATCACACACATATTGTTATACTGTACGTTAGTTTGCACACTGATACATCAGTGTACTTGTTGTCTGCCTGATGTGTTTTATGCATTTCACATGCTTCATGTGAGACATGAGCAGGTGCTTATAGTATTGAAAGAATCTCGCACAGTCTCCTACACTTGTAGTTATCAGGAATGTATGGGGAACAACATTTGGTGCAGGCACCTTCATCAGGTTATTTCAGGTGCAGATGGAGAAAACAAATTTCCTTCCTTGGAGGACAAAAGCTATCTATCAATCATTGATTAATAAACATTTCAATTTCAACCATTCAACTCAATTTTTTAATTTACTCTATTCCATTTACTTATCATCTCATTAAACTTTCCAATGACTTACAGTTTGGAAAATCAACTTGAAAACCTGTCCCTCTCTGATTTTTTGTTGCTCATTAACAAAATTTTACCGCTAGAGGGAGCTGTTGTATAAAACAGCAAACGTGAACAAAGCTGAGAGACGTGTTTGAAAAGAGACAAAGCAGAAAAAATGGGATAAAGTGTGCATTCCTGTGTGTTTGTGCGTGCGTTGATGTTTCTGTGTTGTATTAAAACTGAATCATGAGCCATGAGGGGACGCAGCCAAGGGCCTTGCCTGGATATGACACAGTTTGATTTGCACACACTCACATCTGGCCGTACACAAAGACACACACCCAAACACATGGGAATGCTTGAATGCACTTTGTTTCTCCTTGGCCAGTCACACACCTCTCTGAGTTGTAGCATCTCTTTGTCTTTTTGCTCCAGTAGGCCCTCCAGCTGGTGGATGGTCATCTCAGCGTCGGCCAGTCGCCTCGTTCGTTCATGGTCTTCTTCAGTTGCCCGTGACGACAGGCCTTTGCTCTGCAACATTTCCAGTAACTTCTTTATGGATTCATCCCTGTTAGAAAAGAAAGGAATAGATTTAAAGCCACACTTTAAATGCTGGCAGCCTGAAATTGCAGCAAGAGGCCCCTGAAACTCATACAACAGTAAATTTCCCACTTCACCTGGCAGTCAGTGTGTGTTTCTGTGTGTCTATCCTCAGCTCCATTTCTTCCACAGTCTTCCTCAGGAGGAAGAGCTCTTTCACCTGACGCTCGTACTCGCCATGGAGACGCAGGAAGTTCTCCTCTGTCATTTCCTGAGGGGGGATGGGCTGGTTTCCCAAGAGACCGGACTCTGAGTAATCGGACTGGAAGAGCTGGTTGAGGTCTCGCTGGATTCTGAGCTCATCTTGTAGAGCCTGGATGGTGCACTGCAAATGCTGGAAAGAGAGACAAAAGTCACATTTAGAGTTATAAATGTAAGAGATCAACAGGAGTGTGTGTGTGTGTGTGTGTGTGTGTGTGTATGTGTGTGTGTGGATGTTGTGTGCAAAGTAAGATTTCAAAAGCAAAACAGGACTATAAAACATTAGCAAAGGTCTGAAATGGTTGTTAATCAGTACCAACAATCTAACATTTACTGTCCCAGAAACTGAAATGTTGGGCTTTCCAAACTTTCAAAGCTATTACTGTCTAACAACCCAGGCGCCAGGCCCCTAAAGGCCCTCATTTCAATGTGTGTCAGCTGGTTTGTAAAGTTGGACATCACTTGGGGGCATCTGCTACAGTGATGCTGGCTTTGTAGCAGTAGCAAGGATGCCATATTTCCACCCACTTTTGAGGTGTTCTAGCCATGTCTGACCGGAAAACAACCCGCAGTGAACCAAAAGCATGTCTGCCAGGTTACTTGGGGGCATTCTGGGATCACCAGGAGGAGCAGAGGTAAGTTACAGGGTAAAACGACATTGTGTCTGCTCTGCACACACTGTTTTCACTGCAAACCTGATATTGCCTGAGTCCAGACCTTTGAATCCGCCCTTGTGACCGAGTTTGAATATACTGATTCGTCTGGCATTGTAACATAGAACAGCTGCTGTCTACAACGGCTGAAAAAAAGTGATCCAATGAGCGCCGCAGGAGGATTAGCAAATCAGTGCAACATCCAGGAGGGGGTGCACCTAAACCAATGAGGAGTCGTAACAACAATGGCAACTGCAACAGAAAAGATAGACGATTATACTAAAGCTGTTCTAAATCAATATGTATCTCAATATCATTCTATATCAGTTTCACAGAATTCAGACTGGAGTTAACAAGTTACATGTAAACAGAGTTACGGGAGACCCGAAAAAATATATGACAAAAGTCACACATCATAGTTATATGTCCAACACACGGGAGAGTGATCAGCACAGGGTAGACTATGACTGTTTAAGTCTCAGCCTAAAACACCTCCGCCCAACGTGGGGCTCGAACCCACGACCCTGAGATTAAGAGTCTCATGCTCTACCGACTGAGCTAGCCGGGCTGCTTCTGACTGAAAAATGGGTCAGAATTCAGAGCTGCATTAATTCTAATGGGTTGAAAACTTGCACCCGGTTGGATTTTGTGGGTATACTTTCCGAAATATTGCTGGTTTTGTTGTGTTGGTGACACAGTCTGCTACCTGATCAGCTCATCTGTGCAGCTCAGTCAACGTTGTACAGTTAATTAGGCCGTTTTTATAGTCTCATTATTTTGTCCAGTCAGTGTGCTATACATATTGCCTGGTCCAGACCTTTGAATTCATAAAAAAGAGAGATATCTGTATCGCTAAACAAGAGGAATGAAGCCTGCAAGTAAAACCTATGTCAGGAGTGGGATTGGAACCCACGCCTCCATTTGGAGACCAGAATTCCCTTTCACTCAGGAAGGCGTCAATCCTTGAGTCTGGCGCCTTAGACCACTCGGCCATCCTGACAACTGATGAGCTAGTGTCACAAGTTACATGTAAATAAAACTTGCAGGATTACAGACTTACAGGAGAGTTGGAAAATTTACTACAAAACCCATAAAGTAAGCTTTCATTGGGTGTTTTTCAAAGTCAAGGATCTCTTGGGAGGACGGGTCCTCCCAAGGAAGGATCCTGCAGAGGCAAGGCAAGAGTCCTTCCTAGCATTCAGTGAACACACATTGGAACAGGCTAACAAGTGTCCCAAGGTGAACTTCATTAACCCTCAGCAGACTGAGGAGGTTTCAGGATACTGTGATAATTTTGAGACTTTCTAATGTTGTTGTACAATGTTATCAAATGTGGAGGGGGGTTGATGACAAAGCATCCATCAAATTAGGCCATTTAAGAATCCTTCCTTGACTTTGAGAAAGACAAGTCAGCTTTCAAGGCTGTAACACATTGCAGTTTTTTGTCCAACAAATCCACGGGTAACTGATTTGATGGCTGAACACTTCTCTTTAGAGTCCTTAGTACAGACTGAAGATGGATATAAGAGTGTAATCACTTGACGATTCTGTCTGATAGCAGGCAACTACATGCGTATATTTTGGGAAAGCTTGTTTTACATAGAAACAAAAAGAGAGATATCTGTATCGCTAAAAGAAAGAAATTTTTTGTCAGGAGAGGGATTTGAACCCACGCCTCCATTTGGAGACCAGAAGTCCCATTCAACTTAGGAAGGAGTCAACCCTTGAGTCTGGCGCCTTAGACCACTCGGCCATCCTTACAACTGAAGGGCCAGCTTCACAAGTTACATGTAAATAAAACATAAAGGTTTACAGACTTACAGGAGACTTGGAAAATGTACAACAAAACTCATAAAGTCATTGTCAGCCTTCAAAGAAGCAACACATAGTTATTTGTCTAACATATCTACACATCTGGCTTAGGGTCCTCAGCACAGGGTAGACTATGACTGTTTAAGTCTCAGCCTAAAACACCTTTGCCCAATATGGGGCTCGAACCCACAACCCTGAGATTAAGAGTCTCATGCTCTACCGACTGAGCTAGCCTGGCTACTTCTGACTGAAAAATGGGTCCGATTTCGGAGCTGCATTAATTCTAATCAGTTGAAAACACGCGCGTAGTTGGATTTTGTGGGTAGACTGTCCAAAATACTGATGGCTGGATGGACCCATAAAGTCATTGTCAGCTTTCAACGTGGCAACACATTGCAGTGTTTTGTCCACAACATCCACGGCTAAGTGATTTGATGGCTGAATGTTTCTCATTAAAGTCTTTAGTACAGGGTAGACTACAACACAAAGTGTTACTCTAAAAACCTTTCGCCCAACGTGGGGCTTGAACCCACGACCCTGAGATTAAGAGTCTCATGCTCTACCGACTGAGCTAGCCGGGCTATTTCTGACTAAAAAAATGGATCAAATTTGGTCTAGCATTGAGAAATGTCACTGTGGTTTCTTGGTTGGCAATCCACCGATCTAACCCTCACATGGATAACCATTTTATAAAGAAATGGATGGAAGAGTTAAATCAGACGATAGATTACTGTTTTTTTGCAGAGGCTTTATAGGTGTTCTTGGAGATCTTGGGAAAGGTCTGAAACTGGTAGTACCGATCAGTGTTCAGTTTTTAGTGCCACAGAAGGGCCTCATATTAACTTGCACGATAATGATCCCAATGCAATCAAAAAATTGAGCACCAGTATTGGATCAGTATCCGGTAGACACCCTGAGTTGTGGTATCAGAATCAAGACAGAAAAGGTTGGTTCACATTGATGCGAACCAGTAAAACCCAAAGAGGCACTGTATGGTATTGAGCTATACAAATAAACATGACATTACTGCAGTGATTCATAGATCAATGTGTTCGTTTAAAAATCACTCAGTTTGATTGATTTGTTCTTGGATCAAAACACACCATGGATCAAAGCTGACATTTACAATGTGTGTGTGAGTAACTGGCTGACTCAGATAGCATACAGTATGTGTATGTCATCTGGAGTGAGTGAGCGTGTGTGATAAAAGTGTGTTGGCAGGTTAGTATCACTACCATTACAGCTGAGGACAACGTGACATGACTACCCGAGTCAGACAAAAGAAGAGTTTAAACCGTGTGTGTGTGTGTGTGTGTGTGTGTGTGTGTGTGTTGTCACTATGATGTCCCCAGGCTTCTCTAAAATGCGTCACACATAACCTGAACAACAGCCAGGCCATCACAATATGAGTCACGGCGCATTTCCAGAGATAAAAAATACACAGGTAGCAAAGTGCTGAGAGAGATTTGCACGAATGAGAGCAGAAGTAAACAGCAGATTTAAAAAAAGGAAAATAAAGTCGAGAGGTTAAAAAAGGCAGAGATGCTATCCCTTGCAGCCATCGTTAATCAACATTGACGAGGGAACGAACAAGATTAAAGGAAAAAGTGAAAGAGACAGATGAGTAGGGAGGCAAAGAAAAACAGTTCCTAGATATTAAGGAAGAGAAAGGAGGAGAGAATAAAGACAGTGAACACAAATACACTGCATGCACAAACACACAGAAAAAGAACAGGATGAATTAGATTATATCAAAGCAACTGTCTTTTAAGATACAGTAGCTCCGCACAATGTTACATGACAGCGAGGGCAGTGTGCTTCCTGCTTCGTCTTCTTCTGCTCTTTATTATATTTCCATTGAGACAGACGTACAGAATGTTGCAATAAAACACCAAGTCTTTTCTCTCCTTATTGTGTTTGTTTCTGTGGGTGAGTGGGTTTGTCTGCTGACTCGTACAATAGCGCTTCACACACTTGTCGACGGCTGTCTCTTACTTTTACAGCATTATAGGACTTCCCCAAAGACAGAGGGACACAGAGAGACACTAAGGCTGACACTGAGTTTCTTTCACCTACTGCATTTATAATTCTTAATTAGCTATTGTGTGCAAAAATGACACTGCCGCAGTATTCTGTGCCATTATTCAACTGTTTTTCACCTCTTGAATGCATATCTTGATTCGCCATAATTCTGTTGTTGTTTTATTCTGCTGATGTATATACTGCAGTTAAATTTTCACACTTACAGCCTCAGCACAGTGACGATAAATATTCTACTTTTAATATTTCAATTTTTAATATTTATATACTAGTGTTAACACTGCGGCATAATGCACATTTTATTTTAAAGCACATTTCATTTCTATTTTATTTCATTTTATTGCTTTATATTTACAGGTGGTGAATGATGCATCCTACAGATGCGCAGAGATGGATCATCAGTGATGTATCCTGGGTTTATCGGGTGTTTCGTGTAATTTCGAGTAATAATTTCCCCTTGGGGATCAATAAATATGTCCTCAAATGTCATGTTTTGTCCAAAACCAAAATGTATCCAGATCACTGTCACAGAGAAGAAAAGAAACTAGAAAATATTCACATTTAAGTAGCTGAGATCAGAGAAATAAGAGACTTGATTAAAAAAAATTGCTTGAACTGATTAATCAGT